TAACGGATGCAGTGAGGTTTTTCTTGCCTCTATTGTACTTAACTCCTGTGTGTGTTCTGGTGTTCTGCTTTAATCTTTTCTGACTTCTTGGCTTGTTAAATCTTTTCGGGTGGATAAAGCGAAAATGTCTCCTGGTTTACAATTGTAAATTTGCAGCAGTTACTTTACTTCTCAGTTTAACAGCATTTTTTTCTCCTTTTCAGTTCAATTTTGTTGGGCGTATTCTGGGTCCCAGAGGACTAACTGCAAAACAGTTGGAAGCAGAGACTGGCTGTAAGATCATGGTCCGAGGCAAAGGTTCCATGAGGGATAAGAAAAAGGTATATTTTACAATATATAACTAAACAAACATATTCTTCACCCAACAGAACTTTTCAAGGAGAAAAATACCTGAGAACAGGAGGGAGGTCTTTAGACAAGTTTTCATAATGTCTTCTAATTGATTCAGTTGTCTGTTATGGACAGGCAGAGAAGATGAGTCGCAAATTATGTACATTGAGATTTTTTTTTTAAATAAAAGCTTGTGCTTGACCTCAGACAACTTAGCTGGAAGGAAGTAAAAACTGTAGCTTTCTTGTTGCCTATGGCGGTATTTGACTTCTGACCAATATCAGTAAATCCTGATTCTGTTTTTCATGTACCAGAAAACCATATAAAATGTTTTACACTTATAGTATAGAATGTAAAAGCGCAAATCATTTCCCATATAAAGATGAAAACAATCTACGACACTATTGTAAAATAGGAGGAAAAAAAGCTACAAGCAAGTTTAAAATCCATTCACCAACAGGGGTGTGGACTTTTTTTAAAACGCTACTTGCCCAAGGGCTAAAGCGGGGGCCCAATCTACTTGTCCCTCATGACAATCTACTTGTCCCAATACAAAAAAGTTTTTTAATCAAAACTAGGGATGCATCAATACCGGTTTTTCGGTACCGTGTACGAGTACCGATATTCTGCTTTCGGTACGCACCAGTATCAATACCGGTGCTTCCACTGGCATGGAGCCGTCTTCCGGGGCAATTGGGAAGCCGGGCAGCTGGTAATGGCCGGCTTGATTGTGATTTGCCGGGAAAACAGCTTCCCAGCCAATCGGCACCGAGCTGGGTTCCTGTGCACCTGTGTAATTACCTGATTGGCCGGGAAGCCGGCTGCCCAGCCAATTGGCAAGGAGCCGGTTTCCTGGCCAATCAGGTCATTACTCACCACCCGGCTTCCTGATTGCATGGGAAGCTGGCTCCCCTACGGCAGTGACTGTCGGATCGCTGCTTGTTTGATACAAGTGATCAGATCACTTGTATAAAACGAGCGGCGGCTCCCCACTGTTCATTTAGCTCTGCTTGCCCGAAGCTGGGCTAAATGTAGAGAAAAAAAATGTGCCTCACGCCCGAAACTCCATCTCCCGGGCGTCGGGCAATAGGAATTCCACACCCCTGACCAAGATGTTATTTTTCTCTTAGATTTGATAAACTGTTTTTCTTTAAGGTAATTTAGACATCAAATAAAGTATTAACTATTGCATTTAGAACTTCATAGTGGGAAGCATTTCCACTTCTAAATTAACACACGGAACGGGGCACAGAGAACTATATTCAAATCTACTCCAACCAGTTAAGTTAAAAGTTAATGGATGCGCCCTGCAGCTCCAGCAATACTGACAGGTTCTCTTTGATCACTGCTGCCCAAAGATATAGCTGCTATACAGCCTTCAGCAGTAAAATTATCTATTGTAGTTTGTAAGGGAGATAAGATTGCTTGTGCTGTCTTGTTCTTACCTGACAGTGTGTTGCAGTATTGGTGATTGAGTGGGGTTTTGACAACTTTAAGAATTTCTAATTCTAAAATTTGTTGTCACATGTATTTTTCTTTTAAATGTCCATTATATTGTCTTAATTGGCCATTATTACTGTTTACATGCTGCATGCAGGCTGTCACCAACATATTGGAATGCAGTATGTTGGCTTTAAACAAGGTAAGCAAATGTTTTTTTATTTCATTTCTAGTGTTTTTTTTAATGTAAGACTAGTGATATCCTGTATATTGTACCAGACAGCTTTATGGAACAATCCAGAATTTTTGTACTGGCCAGGAACTGCATAGATGGAGAAATATGCTTTTTGAAAGGTCCTTTCTACTTCGCTATGCAGATTGACAGCTCAATTTGAACAGATGGGTTGTAAAGTTAACTTTTTTTTCCCCCTATTTCAGACTGTTGACTTTCAAAGTTTGTGATGGTCACAAAACGCAGTTATCATTTAAAGTGTGTATTTCCACTTTTAAAGCCAGATTGGGATGATACCTGTTTTATATTTTTTTTCATGTTTCCATTCACAAAGTGTAATTTGTTGCTTACCATTTTTTTCTGAAAACTGTTTTTTTTTTTCTTTCATTCTTTGTCATTTCAAGGAGGAGTCTTAACCAGGTAGTGGAGTTAATGTTTACCATAATTATCTCTGTACTATGCTGGCAGACCTCATTAGTTATAAACTAGTTCTGAACACGGCCTGTCGTAACAAAGGGTTTAAGATTGAGAAGCATTCTATGTTAATGAGAGGACAGTCTCACTTTGAAGTTGTTCTGAGTAGCTTGCAGTCTGTGACATACTAAAGAGTAGCTTCTGAATTCTGTACATAGTCACTCAACATTGCACTCCGTTATTAATTTTTGTTTTGATAGACAGTAGACTGCATATTAGTGTTGAAGAGTTACTAAAGTGATTTTGAGGTCAAAAGGTTTGTAATATATTTCCAGTGCTGATTAAATCACTCAAAATGGATTCTGCTCCTTGATTAAAAGTTTGTTTCCTGCAGAATCAGCTGGTCCTGTTATTTTGTTATACGGTGGCTCCTTTCCCTTGCAGGGTCCTATGGAGCCACCTTTGTTTGTGCTAGTAAGCTGTGTGTGTGTCTCCACACACACATGTACAGCTTTTTTTTTAAGACAGCTGTGTCCCTTTTTGATCTTGTACTGGATAGGAAGTTTAGGGAAGCATATCTCTAAGAGTTGAGGGAACTGTTTAAAAATATAACGACTGTAAGTGCTTAAGTAGAAAAGTAAAGAAAATCTTTTGCTGGGCAATGTATATTTGTTCTGGATTCTTTATTGAAAAAAGTGGGTTTAATACTACTTTAAATATAACTTTTATAATTTTGTTCCTTATCCTTTTTTATCCTTCTTTCCATGGCCAATCATGATTTACAAAGATTTGTACTAGCAACTTATAGTGTTTTGTCTTCCCCAAATATTAGATATATCCGAATGACTAGAAAGATCTATTGTAGCTGAAATAAAGCCATTGAAAGACAAGTGCCAATCAATGAGATGTTGTTGCACTGGAAATGTGAACTGATTAAGTATTTTGAAAGTGATGAAAGGGAAAGATATTTGACTACAAGCTGTATGCTGAAGTTGTGATATAACCTTAAGGTCCTGAAAAATAGACGACGAGTGTCTTAATTCACTGATGTCTTCATAGCCCCTAGTTAGCAAAAATGCCAGAACTCAGCATGTGGTGCAGCTGTGCTTGCTTCACAAACATCTCTTTGAGGATGCTTGCTGGCTGAAATATCTTACAAATGCTGTATGCTTTTTCTTTTTTTTCCTCGTTTCCTGACATTTAAATGTCAGGTGGGAAAAGATAATCTGTGACAGTTTGTCCATTTTTTGGTGGCGTGTACTTTTACAGTACATCACTAAAACCTTCTAAATGTTTTAACACATTAAAGTAATTTCTATAGTCCTTCTTTTTTTTTTTTTTTTTTTTTTAATAAAAATTTTTT